ATGCCCTTTTCTGTTTTTGAGTATTTACTGACTTAATTTTCTATCAGTTGAAACGCTATTTTGTCGAACCAACTCCCAAGGGGATACTTCCTCTGAATTCTACGATGCTAACCTGTCTAATTTTAGGTTTAACCGTTATCTTCCCCTCATATTCGCATAAACTGTGCATTTTGGTCTGTAACACTCTACCTCTTGTGACTCTTGTGCACGGCACAGGATGAATATTTTTGTCAAAAAAAAAGAAGTTTGCTCTTAGAGGTTAAAACAGTTCTTTTAGCCGTACGTTATCAATATATCTAACCACTCGACGCTTTCTGTTTCCGACCATCAAACGGGTTCGAATTACATCAAAGATCGAATAATCCGGAAGGTGATGTTATCGGCCCGTGTAGGCGATTCCAGCTTGCAACACCTTTGCAAAGTGTCTGGAAATCTTACCATGGGTTTATTAAACCCTTTGAAGGAAATTGGGTAGACAGAGTTATTTGGGATCTCTAGATGGTTGTGCAAGTAAGAAGTCATCGGGAGCAAAGGTATGAGCGTACTGGCCTTGTTCAGACTATTGAACTGTTTGGCTTTACTTTCTTTGCGTTTATATATATGTTTTAATGTTTAAATAGTCATTTTACCGCAAGCAAGACAATGAGGCCACCAATATGCAAGGGGTTTCTGGGAGAAAAACAGAAGAAAAAGTATTTAGAAGAAACCAGAAATTCATTCCTAAACAAAGGATAAAACCTCTAATCCTCTTTAAAAGACTTAGGGGATAGTGTTAGACTTTTTCTCTTGATAGTTGTTGTCTTCAGAGGGCACAGAGATAAATGTCGGAAATTTAAACTGGAGATATTCTTCTGTCCATTTAATTATCTAGGATTTGTCTTGAAATGCAGTCATTAATGTCCGTTGTCTAAATTTGCTTGAGCCACGATTCAAACTTAATTATTGCTAGAAATTTGATTTTATGCAAGTGATACAGGTCTGAGTTGCTCTAACATTATATACATCCATTGTCATGAGCGCAACTAGTACGTATGTATACTACCATAATATCTGTCTCATGGTCGGGTCATTAGTAACTAAAAAGGCACCCCACAATCGTTTCTTTTAAAGAGGGTGGTTAGACAAGCAGGATAAAAAAAGAAGACCTGTCAAATGGCGGATGGAATTTCTTTGGATCAAGCACAAAGAGGTACACTTTGCATGTAGGAAGTTACAATGATGACACGACATCACTAGAATGAGGGCGCGGTCAAGGGATTGGCTAATATCACATATCCAGATCCAGGCTTCCAGTTGGAGGGCATCGATTGACATGGAGAAGGATATGCATCCACCATGCCTACTGACGCATAAATAAATACCTTTCCGTCTTTCAAACCAAATATATAGAGGGAATTGATTTGGTTTGGTTTGTTTTACGGCATATAAACCTCAATGTGTTATTTAATACCGACAAAATTTTTATTGCTGGTATTTCTTATTCTTTTTCAAAAATGCGTTGCTGATATTAAAACTTATTTTTAAACTTTCATAGTGTTTTGATCCTAGTCTGAAGGTTAAATATTTGCCGATAGCTGAAGCCCTAGCTGGTGTTACCACCCCGGGTAAGAGTGGATCTGGTAACACCAGCATTTAAAAGGTGCTTCCACGCAATTAAAAAATGGGTCCAGGCTTCTTAAAACCAGATCGGAGGCCTTACTGCGGGATGTAGATATCGCCATAACCCGGTCACGGATGTAGCTTATAGTCATGCCCAGTACGCCTTATTGGAGTGGGGTTTTACCTCACTTTAGAAGTGTAGTCAGCGTATTCAGAAGCCCCAGTCGACAGGGCGAGGAAAGAATTTTCAAGGGGATGAGCTACGCAACATCTTTATGACCAACGCTGGCCATGGGACTGATGATCGGGATGAAGAATTTGACCAATACTGTCTTATGTATCCAGGTAGGTACTTATGCTACACGTGTTAGATGTGGAACTTATTAAAAGATCGTTACTCAAAGGAAGAAAGGCTGCTTGGTTTTAAAATCAATATTTGAAATGCAGTTGCCTAAACTTATAAAGGACCATTGTTGATTGTTTTGTTTTTTTTTTGTTTTTTTTTTATTCTTTTTGTTCACCACTGCAGTAGCCATGTATTGAACTTCAAGTCTCTGGATCCAACCAACACTTTTATCCACTGTGCCATGTGTCCTTGAACAAAAACAGGATGAGTTCAGTTAAAGAGAGATAACTGAAACTGAAGAGGTATGGCGCGTGGAACTAGAACAATCTACCCCGGTGGACGAAATAAAGGTTTCACTTCGAAATTCCAGACACCTGAGAAAAGCCGAAACCTCGTGAATATGGTAATGAGATGAGGACAACTGTCCGAACAATGTTAATAATAATGGTTTTATTGATACCATAGGTCAATATAACGAACTCAACGAGAATTGGAACTTGGCTTTCCGATTAACAATTCCGTGCCATTATCAGTTACACCAACCGCACATTCAAGCTTACAGCAACTGGTATTCTCAAGCAGTCACCCATCTAGCTACTGATCAAGCTCGGGGATGCTTAACTACGATAATCTTACGAGAACCGCTGTTTCAACGTTATGCGGACACTTCCCCATACGTTTTCCCTACAACCTGGACGGTAAGGATTCTCTTCTAGATCTATGTTTTACCTCCACCCTCGAGTCCTGTAGCGCCACGCAGCTCTACTCTCTTGGCAACTCCATCATGTTGTAGTGTCTGTCAACATCTCCTTCAACTTCACCCCTTGCAAAGAACCGCCTACCGCTAGAATATCTTTATACGTGCTATATTGGCGTCAGTGAGAACTATGTAGTTATTGCAAAACACCTTTATATTTCTTGGTCTTAACTAAGAACTCTTAGTCAAAATAAGGAACGAAAGAAAATAAGTCTAACTATGGAGAGTAAGAAAACATAATTCAAGGTTGTTAGTAAAAGAGACAGCGAATGATGTCATTTACACATTGGAAATATCACAATCAATCTGGTGCAGAAATTTAATTATCTAGATAGTGTACAGTAAGTGAATATGGAAAAATGATATGCAATTCTGAAGGATTATGTTTTTCATGTCATCTTCAGTGAATGGTGTACAATCTCATCATAGACGAAGAAAAGATTTGAAACGAAAGAGATGCAGTATTATTGAAACATATGAAAATACCCCAGACAGAACATGGGAGTAAGGGGAAGTATTTAAAGAATATAGGGACTGTAAAAAAAAAAAAAACTATAACTTACAAATAGTAAAGGACAGCAGAGAATATTTGGTCATATAATGATGAAAAATTGCGAACAGAATATAATACACTTAAGAAATACTGATTACAAGAAAATGCTAAAGTACAGCGAGAAACACACTTAAAAATAATTATCCCTGTGGGAATGGCAGAACATCGAAATGTAGGTAGTTGATGAAAGATTGTTAAATATAATACAAACAAAACATGGAAAGCAATGATCGGTCACGTACTGTAGTAATACAGAGCATGGCTTAGATAGTACGTAGAGTCTGTCTATATTTCTGAGATGAGGTATTATGTACATTATTTACATTATTCGGACTATTATCCTCATTTTGTCGCCATATTTATCACAACGTTTCGGTCGTTGTACGCTCCGGCCTTCTTCAGGTGGTTGGAATTTCGAACTGAACCCTTTATTTCGCTCACTGGGGTAGACTGTTTTAGTTCCACGTGCCATGTTTGATGGATGTCAGTTATCAGTTATTTCTTGTTAATTTCCCTCTGAAATCCACCGTGCCATGTGTACAGTGGATAAAGTCGTTGGTTAGATCCAGTGACAGGACCCAAAGTGTCTGAGTTCAATACCCGCTTAAAGCAGTGGAGAACTTTCAGAGGGAAATTAGCAGGAGATAACTGACACCCATCAAACATGGCACGTGGAACTAGAACAGTCTACCCCAGTGAGCGAAATAAAGGGTTCAGTTCGAAATTCCAACCACCTGAAGAAGGCCGGAGCGTACAACGGCCGAAACTTTGTGATAAATATGGCGACAAAGATGAGTCCGAATAATGTAAATAAAGTACGTAGAGTGTTCGAATTTCTGCAGTTGTAACAGGAAGTCCGGTTCAAGGCTTAGAGGTGCGCATGCGCATCGACTGTGACTTGATGAAATTGACATCACACCTATACAAATGTATCAATACCTGCCACTTACTATATGAGCGGCTACATTGCTTGGTAGAGGACAGTAGTCATTCTGTAGACGACGTCCGTGGTGTGTAGACGAAGAAAGCGATACAGGCGTCATAAGCAAAATACCTCTACCAAACACATATAAGAGATATATAACAAAAATGAAAAGTAAATTGGTACAAATTAAGAAGGTGCCTATGGGAGTATTTTTATGTCAGTTTTCAAGGGTAGAATGGTGTGCCTGCTATGAAAATCAGCATTTGAATTTTAGGGTTTTGCGTTTATTCGAACACTAATTTCAGTACGAAATACGGAATAATTTCAACCAATATTTTTATTTTCCACCTTTATTCCATTACTTTATTTCTTTAACATCCCATGTCGTTAAATAGAGTCATCAGATCGAGACATTCATTTCAATGTCATGCATGGCACCAGATACTTTCAGAAATATTTATCTGCTGTATATAACCACTTCCTAAGATCAATGTTAAAAAAAAAAAAAAACAGGGCTTTCAACTAGAGAAATTTGAGGGTATTGGCAAAGATTAGCCTTCATTGAACACTGTGGAATGGTGTTTGATAATCAGAAATAACTCTACCAAATAACAGATACCACATCACATGTGGACGTTCAACAGCGGCAAAAACTCAAATGGATACATAGTGTAATTTAGAGAGACTAATATAATCAATAAGATAAAATTCAACACTACATCAAATGAAACGTGAGTTAAGAAGTCCACTCCCATCAATACTGGAAAAGATGATAACAGTTTCTGAACCTGAGAAACCTGTTTTCCTGGAAAATTTGTTTATAAATTTCAACTGGAAGCAGTAATGCTTGCTCCGTTCATGTATGCTAAATGTTTCCTTATAGGAAAACTGTTAATATTGTCATTACTATTCCTTTCTATATGTTGCCTTTCTAATAATATGTTTATTTTCCACTCATTTTTTTTATTTTGCTTCTGTTTTTTTTTTTTTTGCTTTTTTAAATTCTTTCCTTCATTACTTTGCTTGTTTTCTTTCTTTTATAAAATAATTCCCACTTTTTTTTTCATTTCTTCGCAATTTTATTCGTCCTTTATTCTTTCATTCTTTCTATTATCTTTCGTGCCGACGAACCCAATTTCATTCCAGTTCCAATCTTTATTTCTCTTTACCCGACCGAGATACATCTCTTTGATTATTTTCTTTGGAATTCTTTTATATTGGTACCCAAGAAAGTTCTAATCTTTGGTCCGTGATCGACTCAGCCTTGAGTAAAGATAATCTTTACGTGGCTAAAGTTTTGAAAATATCATGGAAAGAAAAATGGAGAAAAAAAAATCCCTGAACGCCATCCATCAACCAACTAACTAGCCAATCAGGCAGGGAGCAAATCAACAGACCACATGACGGATGATATGACACCGTCAGAAGATTAACTCGACGCCATTGCTTGACTTCTTCCTTGCGCACATTTTATTCTTTGTCTCTGTTTTATTTCACTATTTAAACATCAAGTTTTTTTTTTTTGTGGTTTTCTTTTAGCTATTTTTAATTCATTCATTTCTTTTATATTCTTCATTCCTTGTTTTATAGGTGCGTTTTTATTTTTTCCTTTTTAGCCATTAACTCTTTCAATATCAAACTTTTCTGACGTATGTCGTATGATTCCCCCAACTCGCATATTGTCTTCATCTCCTTATGTATTTTTTATATTACTTGTTTCTCCTTTTTATTTAGCTTTAAATTATACTTTAATAATTGGATCGAGGAAATTCCCAGGTGTTGACAATTAAGGTTAGCCATTGTTTCAGGGCCTTTCGCTTTTCTAACACAGTGCCTGTATCTTTTGAAAATCTCCCTTAATTTTTTAATCAATTCATTCCAGTCAGGTCGATCTATTATGATACAAAGAGCTACTAGCAGTGAAAGAGAATAGAAAGACCACAAAAGAAACCGGAAATCCAATCCTAAACAGGGAACAAATGATAAACATCTACCTTTTTTATCAAAACATGGAGGAGTGTGAACCGGGCGATAGACTAACCTATCTGCTCCTATTGCGGAAAAAATTAGTGAATAAAAATCCAGAGTTCGGGCGGACACCGTAAAAATATAGCGTTGAATTTAGTCTTTAAACCGAACAGAAAGCACAATCCTAAACAAAGAAAAAGAGATAAATATATAATGTTTCAATAAACAGGGGAGGAGTTTGAACCGGACGATAGGCGAACCTACCTACTCCTATTGAAGAGTGAAAATTATTAAATAAAATTTCAGAGTTGAGACGAAGACATTAGAAGTATAGAGTTGAATTACTTTTTAAAGGAAGAAGCAACCCAATCCTAAACAGTGAACATGGAATAAACCTTTACTCCCGTTCAAAATAGCGTTGAGGAGTGTGTACTGGACGGTAGGCGAACGTATCTAATACTACCGAAGAGAAAAAGTAAATGAATAATTAATAAAAAAATTCCAGTGTTCAGGCGGAGACATTAGAAGGATAGAATTGGAGTAGACTTTAGAAGGAAAGGGAAACGCAATATTTTGCAGAAAACAAGGAATAACAAGTGACCCAACCTAATACATCTAGGTGCAATGCGCAGCTTGGTGTGGTTGCGATGTTTTGCGCTGAACCACAACAATCCTATCTTCATATTCCTACAATCCCAGGGCACACAAATATGTGACCTCTGGAGAGAGAAAGCAGACCCATGAGGATGCCTGATAATCCCACCAGGTACTACTGTCTAACCATATATTTACTGTAATAACCGAATCCCATGGCCCTTCATGCACTGTAGCTGCAGTATAGGGGTGTTTCTTGGACAAGATAGCCTGACGGAACACAGCTCTCTCTAGACCAGTCTTGAATTCAGAGTTTTCATTCTCCTAGACTGGTTGTCATCCAAGTCAATAGAATCCTGTCTATTCTGCTATTTGCCCATACCTGGGTAGACAGATGGATCCATACCTTACTCAAAAGTATTAGCACGTAGGTGAGTGTAATGAATTCAAATGGAATTCGAATCTGACATTCCGAAATTGGCTTCTCAATCCAAGCCGAAATCCATTACTCAACGCTACCACCATTTTGAATTCTAACAGTCCCCAAAATGCCGGAAGATAGCAAACAAATTCCTGTCTGTTACACTGAAAAAATATTTTTTTCTTGATCATTAAACTGATAAAGGAAGACGCCGTAGTTTTGGTGATTTCTTTTACTTTCCCAAATACCTTCAAACTCAAGACCATATCACAGGGATGAATTTTTGAGACAAAAATTGAATGAGATTGAAAGCATTTGAGAAAAATAAAAGAGATAA